TTCATGCGCCCAGTCCCCGCCTTTGCCTTCTGCGGCTTGGGCAGTGAGGCTGGAGCACTTGCCAGTGAAGACCGACGCAAAAACGTCATTGAGTACCTCCGCCTTCTCCATATCCCGGGTAACCAAGTCTGTGGGCGGTGATGTTGCTGATGACAATATCTATAATTATTATCATTATTATGACAGCCATATGTAGGATACCATTGCTTTAGGTATAGTGTACATGTAAAGTGGAAAGACAATCTCTGCCCAAAGAATCTTTTGGTTCTCATGAAGACGTATTCTATATACTCACTCATGCTTAGCAATACTCTGCTCTTCTGCCAATGTCTGTTCACTGACACTGGAATTTTCCCTGCAAAGACAAAAAAACATGCTGAAATTGTGAAAAACTAGTTATGAAAAATGCCTTCCTTGGCTTAAATGTCATACTACATATATTTTTTGAGTACTTATGCCATGGTCTAAGGTGAATATTTCAAAAAGTTGAGACATATTTAATTGTCTGGATTTTTTTATGACTTGGTAAACACTTATACAGCCTTTCTGCTCCACTGTGCGATGTGTTGGAAAGCCAAATATTCTCGTGCATGCCGTAACAAGCAATGAAACTACATATCCCTTTAGTGACCTTATGAAGAGATTGCATTTACATTTTCAAAATTTACATGGAAGATTTCCAAAACTGAACAACCCTAGACTTCCCCAATAAATGTTCTTAGCATAAGAGACAACAGAAGGAATTCATGCGGCAGAAAAAGAAGCCTCTAAAATAACCTCTTGTGCAGAAATAAGAATGATTCTTATTTATGCTGCCGTTTACAGGATACTGTAAGAGTAGTTTTTTTTTTTAAAGAAACCTCTGAATCTTGTCCAGTATGGTTTACTATGAGACAATCTGCTATGTTTCTGTCAGATTTTCATTCAAGTACTTAGGCATACATTTAATGCTTACAATGTCATGTCATCTTACTAAAAAGGAAAAGATGGGTCTGATGTGTCACTTTGACAGACCTGGATTCCCTTTACCCTGTACAGGACTACTCACATACATACAAAAGCAAGAGAGTGCTAGCAAGGCTGATTTATTGCTGAAATAAGAGTACAAAGATTGAAATCCCAGCATCATTGAAGTTAGTGGCAAAACTCTATTGATTTAAATGAAACCAGGATTTTCAACTGATGTTTTTTGCATTAATGTATGAGTGAAGAAGACAAATTGCATCTGATTCTATACCTTTCAGGAAACTTTATGCTTAGTATTCAGAAAGTTATTTAAAAAGAAAAATATTCCAGAAATATTGCCTAATCTTTACTAGAGTGGTGAGGAAAACATTTAAACTGTGGATGGCTGCATATTGATTCACCTGGATTCATCATCATTCAGAGATAACTTTCTCAAGTAAGTGCTCGGTACGAAACCTTCATTCCTGCAAAATAAACAGTTCACAGTTTAGCTACCGTACATGACTGCATCTTAAATTTGGTCACTTAAAATATGAAAAGGGATTAATCAGTAGTCACTTTTTAGAATGCCACTAACAGAAATGCTCATGGTTAAAACATTTCTGCTTTTACGTACCATGTAGAAAAATACAAAAGTAATTTGTTTTAGAAAATTACATTTCAATGAAGTACTCTTTTCACTAGTCATTGAAATGGCTTCTACCTCAGTGATTGGCTTCATCATATGGAAGATTGGAGCAGCTGTTCAACAATTTCATTGCATGCCATCTCAGTTGCTGTGATGAAGAACGCCAGTGACTAATAGGTGCTAGCAGAGTATCCAAGGTCGAATGCAGAAAGTCAATAGGTAGGCTCAGCACTCTTCCCGACACAATGCCAGATGCAATTGAGAAGCTCAGTTAAGTGAATATGGACAGCTGAACTACCACTTACAGCAGCTGGCAGCATGGCATGATGGACCTAAGTTGTGGGGGCCAACAGGCATCTGTAGTTGTAAGGGGGTGGGCTGTATGCTGTGCCCATCAGAAAAATAAATAGGGGGAATAAATTGTATATTTGAATATGGATGGACACAGAAAGGAAGGATTTCTTCAATACAGACCTCAGTAGAGCAAGAAGAAAACTGAGAGTGCATAAAAACAGGTGAAACAGGTAACTCCTGACGTTTTTCCTACTACATTCAAGAAAACAAGATCTTCAATTTTTTTCAAGCAGAATTTAAAGGTTTTGTTATGATGTATATGTGACTTGTCTTTACAGAATCAATACTGCAAAAGTCTCAGTTTCTCAAGCCAAAGAAAAAAATGTAAATGTCCCCCTTTCTCTTGATCTCTCTCTGCTCCAACATCTCAGAGCCCCCTACTCAGGCTCTATAAGCAGAGCTGCCTGTATCATATGCTTTTACATAGCCATAAACAGTCCAGTGAAGGCATTTAGGAGCATATCTCAGCTTAATAATTTGTTTTCTTTGAGTTGCCAGGGTTGTGTGCTGCTTTCTTCATCCAGAACAGTACGTGAATCCTGTGAGTTATAAAGTGCAGACACTTTAAGTTAAGGTTGCTTTATTTGTTGGTTTCCTTGCAGTTGTAGACTTAATCAGTGAATGATGAGTGGATCAAGTAATTTCATTCTGTTCCAAACCAGTTTTGGCATCCCCTAGCTCAAAAATTCTTCTTCCACGTTTCTATCAAGTACATGAAATCAAACTCAGCTAGTGTCCATCATGACACAGACAAGTAATCTTATCTCTTCCAGGCAGCTCCTGTTTGTTGCACTGCCTTTGTCTCCAGTGTACTCCTAAAGCTGTTTCTCATTTAATAACTTGGGAAGGGACGGTCTTTTCTGCCCCAGCTGGATATTAATGAAAAATATCTTATTTTAAGTTGCTGAAGGGGCCTCCACTTATGAACCTCAAAAAGAACAATTAAATTCTTCTGGCCTGCGCAGGCTGAAGGGCCCTGTCTCTGTGGAAAAGTACTGCTAAAGCTGAGGAGAGACTGAAGTAAGAAGTGGTTCGTGCTTCAACAGTTCTCATTGGTCTCCCTGCTGTCGCTGCTATTGCAGTAGTAATGGTGATTGTCTAAAAATGGTTTAGTGCAAACAAGAGTGGCAACATTTGTGAGGAGAGGTTCTATCTTTTTATTCACTTAAACTAAATAGTTGGAAAAAATGGACATCTTCTGTATGCACAAGCCCTTCTTCAGGCACATATCAAAATTAAGGCCACTGGATACTATCTTAGTGTACTAGGCAGTGACTGTTGTAAATCTTACCCAACCTGGCAGCCAAGGATGGTAATGAAAATGGAGTTGTACAGAAGACAATGAGGTTTCTAGAGCAAGGTTTAAAAGCTACTAAGGTAATCCTAACATAGATCCTGAAAGGATCCTGCAGGACTGCCTGCAGTGTTGTCTATGAAGATGGGATATGTGGAAGACCATGGTCGTGGAACAAAAGTATTCTGCAGCACATACTTACCCTTCCAAATCCCTTACTTTCCACCAGTCAGAATCTTCCTCTTGCAATACATAATATTTGTTGCTTCTGACAAGCCGGATTGCTGAATTTTCTTCGGGTTCATAGTTGCATTGGGCCACAGCCATTTTCAGGACTGACTTGTCTGGGGATAGCACCTGAAGCAGGCTTTTACGTTTCCACTTTTGAAGACAGAGGAAATAACATGATAAGGAGATGCAGCACAGGGTACAGTAAGAAATGACACGTGACAAGTACACAATCACTTATATCTTCAACATATATAATGATATTAGGCAAATTAATCAAAGCTAAGATGATGGGCACAGGCAAGCAGCTTTTTTCTCATCCATTTAGAAGAACAGCTCAGAAACTGTTGTCCACATTTGTGAGACAGGTGAGAACAGAACCAAGTTCCATGATAATGACACCAGAAGCAATTAACTCTGAGTGGAGGCTGACACTGCTGTAATAGGAGACTCTCATTACCAGGATTACGTGATAAACTTGACTCCTATCAAAAGCCTGCCACCTATCTGAAGCTGACAGTACTTAGAGAACTGTTGCAATTCATCTGCTTTGGACACCACGTGATCAAATTGTGCTTTACTATAACTAAGTGCGTTAATGTCCTGTTGTACCAAAAGATCCCCTCACAGTATTATAAAATAATTTTGGTTTTTTGAATGGCTTTTGATCAATAGGTAACATTACTTACCATGAAGCACAACAAGCATTAGTCAATTGTTACTACTAATCACTGAAAGAAAAAAGCTACATTCTTTCTAAATCATTCCCTTTCCTTACCATGTTTTACTGATGTTTCTCTGTTAAGCCTGTTGGATATAAGGAATCCCACTCCTTGGTGCCTAACTTTCCCTACGCAGGGTTAAACAAATGTAGGTATGTAACTATGGGATTCATCTTACCTAGCTTTGACCCATGTCTTCATGTGAAATATGTCATCCTGCAGAAGTGTCTACCTCTCATCCCTGATTGTTGAGGAGGATGAGACACAAATGACTTGGATGAGAAGCCTGGCATTAAAGTTAGTTGACATCAATCTAACCATAAGCAAAAGGGCATCTAAAATTAAGGCACTGAAATGCATTTAGAAATCAGGGAAATGTTATCACTGTGAAAATCCAGACATCACAATTCTTTAAAAGCAGAGAAAACTACATATGAAACACTGACAGCAAAGGATGAGGGAAAATAAGAAAGACGTAGGAGAAGAGGCTCCGAATGCCAGCTATTTATAATTGAAAACCACTGTAATGCAATGCCAGGGAAAAATGCCAAGTGTCCTGAAGAAGGCTGTGATTCCTTTAAGTCAAGTCCAAGTGACCATGGCATTGCATGTTTGATTGTTTCCTCTTTATTGACATTTTTTAACTAATTTAAACAAGGAGAAACCAAAGAGCCAAGTGAATGCCTGATTGAGTGCACGGAGCCAGAAGACACACATGATCTCTTCCTGCAAACACATGAAGTCTCAATCTGATCTCACTAAGCTCCAGTGGAGATACTCATTCTTCAAAGAGGTATCACTCACAGCAGAGTCCTCTTCATTTGACTAGAAGTAGGTCTGTTACTCATCAAGCACTACTACTTGAACCCAATGACGGTGGTTCCTGTTGGTCATATCAGACTTCGGTAGAAAGGAGCTTGTAGCTTGAGGGCCTGTGTTAGGCAGGATTCAAGTCTTAGACTGCTCATTTGCTTTGTGGAATAATGACAGAACAAGAGTTGCCTGCAGTTGTCAGAAAGATGGAGAAAACTGTAATACAGAGATTAAACTGTTTTCTCTTTAAAGCATCTAGTGATGTTAGAGCAAGCTGATATTCAGTAAACGTGTTTATGAGCTGATGTGCACCTCTGACATTTGGCTTTGGTAATTTTTGGAGATTATATTGTTCTTTCTTAATTTATTGTGTTTTACTTGTGGAATGATCAGAGTGTCATCCTCTGATGGAGCTTTCATCTTTTTGTGTGAACAGAAGAAATTGCAAAGCTTTGGCCAAAGTAAATGGTATAAAGAATTATTATCACAGAAATGAGTTTTGCTTTGTCCAACCTGCCAGGGAAAAGAACCAGCCAAAGATGAGCACATAAGATTTGTATCCCTTTGGGTTTCACAGCTGGATGTGTATTTGTCTATTGCAATATTCTGGATGGACTTAATCTGTAACCTGGTACAGATTAATGTCCTGATTTGTGTCCATATATACAGCTTTCCATTTCCAGCACTGGCTGAAAGCCTCAGAGCATTTCCTAAGAGCAGCTGAGTGGATCTTATTACTTCCTTTATGCTGGCAGTGATATTATTGTGGTTTTCATATTGATGACTGTACCACTGTCATCTAGAGAGAGCCATAGGTGACAGTCTGAGATTCAGCTGCGATGTGCATATGGGGAATGGTTACTATCTGCAGAACTGCACCCCTACCATGTAGCTGGAAGCACGTGCTGGATGACTTCAGCTTCCATAAAACTTGTCCAAAACGTAAGCATGAGAAGATATGTGTGTGCACTCCGTGGACTCCTATCTGATCTACTGCAGTATTGGTCTGACCTACGCGAACCATTTGCCATTGCAAAGACAGTGGATGCCAGGCACCAGCAGAGGTGAAAGTGTGTCTCAGGTGGGAAGTTCCCGCTTCCTGCTGTTATCAAAGCACACTGGCATATCAGGGAGAGGAAATCCCCACACATTTGCAGGATTACAAGGACAACTACAAGGGCCACAGTTTCCCCATTCCTTATTAGCATCAGCTGCTGCGGCATATATGCTCCAGGTCACCCAGGGATGGCCGTACGGCTCCTGTCACTCAGATTACGGTTGTTTCCAACCCTACACAAGAAAAGGCTGGAGGCTGAGGTGAAAGAGGAAGAGAAAGGCTGGGCACAGAGTACTGCACTGCTCTATCAATGAGAGTAGGTGAAGGGCAGGACAGGTTTTACAATGGCCTTTCAGCCATCCCGAAGCACCGCTCAGCAGAACCGAGAGGTGATGTAGGAGGCCCACTGGTTCCCATGAAGGGACGTTTGTGCCCACTATTCTTTGTAATGGCATCACTCTTTAGGAACCAGCTCCTCTGTGGGAGACTAGACATATAATGCTGAACTGATGAAAGGGACAGAGGCATCAAAGCTGCAGGATGTAAGCATGCAAAAGTAATGCCTCATGGAAAACATAATGCCTCTGGTCAGTTTTGCCAATGTGCAAAGTAATGCCTCTGGTCAGTTGGGAAGAAAGCAAGGCAGCAAGACTTGCAGATGCTGGAGAGGTGAGGAACATGAACTGAGACAGGCGAAAGGAAGGCTGGGGGTACGGTGGTACCTCTGATGATCAAACTGAGTACATGAAAGGGCAAAGTAAAAATGTGCTGAGAGCTTATAGAAGTAGCTCTGTGACTAAATATAGACTGTTCCTCACTATGAGAAGTCAGTATTATCCTTCTTAACCTGATTATATCATACGGCTCAGGAAAATGAAGTCAAGTTGTTCTAACAAGATGTGATAGTTATTATACTTGCATTTACTGAACCTGTTTTAGAAGTACCCATCTGAAAACTGTCATGTCCCTGCTTTTTAAGTTTCCCTTTCAAAATATCTTCTCTGAAGTCAAGCAGATAATAGTAATAAATCATAAAGGCCTAGTAGAAGCCAGCATGTTCTGCAGCAGATTTGCATGACTGATGATCTCTCCAGATAGACAAAGCATCTCCTGATGGAAGCCAGGCAAAACAGACCACGGTATTCAAAACAAGTTACGCTGCTGCGTGTTCACAATGCTATTATCTTAAAATCTCATTATCAGAAAAAATGTCAAAAGGTTCTTTGTTCATAGCTTTTTTCCAAGGTTTTATTATTATTTTTTCTTAAAGCTCCTTTTTACAGCTCTTGTGATTTTGTCTTCTGTCTTTTGATAATCTATGTGTTTCTTAAAGCCCTGGCTGTTCATGTCAAATGTACACACAAAAATTACAGCTTATCTTCTTTTTTCTTTAATTTACTTTCTATTTAACAGAGAGAGGCTAGGAAATAGACCCAGAAAGTATTCTAAAGATGTAGAACAGAAGACAAATTAAAATAAAGCATGAAATACAAACTTTAAAATCCCATGATTTGAAACCCAGTCTGGTTTAATTTGGAGGAGGCTAAATTCACAATTCATGAATACACAGACCATACTGTTAGTCTTTTTCTAAACAGATAAAAACATCAGAACTTAAGACACTTTGTTCTTTTCTATTGTCTTGTCATTGTTACCTCCTTCCCACGTGCTGGGCAGTAAAACTAAGGTCAAAAATACCACTGTTGCCCTTGTATTTCTACAGGAGGAGATAGATGAGGAAATAAGCATAGAAGCAGATCTTCCAGTCTTGCTTTTATTCTTAACCTTGCCAACTATTTCCATTCTTCATCTAGTAACTGCTAGAGGACTCAAGTGGAATTGAGCACGAGTAGTGCTTTTTGGCATCCTGGTGTCCCATTTTTCTCTTTGGGACTGTGAAAGCTTGGCTTTCTCAAACAGATGACAAGGCCCAGTGGGTGCTGGTGGGACACCACACTCCCAGGTTTCTGTCCTATATAAAGTCAAGATATAGGCAAGAGCACATAATGAGCTCAGATGCACTTCCCAATTCATTAACTTAGAGGCTGTCTCTGTAAAGTTGGGCTAAACAGGCATTCCTAACCAGCCATCTGTATTCCTGACCTAACCCCAGAGCAGCACAACTTAGGACTTGCCTGAGATAAACGCAGTTCATCCACCATTTCTCACCCAGGCAAAGCGGGTATATTTGTTTGTACCTTCAGTTACAATGTTTTCTCCAAGTACTATGACCACCATTTTCTCTGGGGAGGGTGGTGGAGGGGAGTTTTTGGCATGTCTAGGAATCATAGAATCATAGAATCATTAAGGTTGGAAAAGACTTCTAAGATCATCGAGTCCAACCGTCAACCCAACACCACCATGCCCACTAAACCATGTCCCTAAGCGCCGCATCTACACGTCTTTTAAATACTTCCAGGGATGGTGACTCAACCACTTCCCTGGGCAGCCTGTT